CTATTTTAGCTCAGCCACTAGAAACACAGTAGCCAATAACTCATAAGCCTATCTTAACTCACACTGCATATCAAGCAGAATAGTAACAGTGAACGTGAAGGACTAAACCATACCTCTCACAATGGTAAAGCAACACAAAAGCCCACCAAACTTTCATATTGAATAGTCTAGCCCAGATGACACCAATAGTACTGTAGTGTTAGACAACCTCTCTGACAAGGAATTCAGAAGGAGCTACTTAGGATGCTTAGGGAATTAAAAGAAACAATGGAAACCAATGCCAATAGAAGACAAGAGGATCTGAAGGCAGAAATGAGGAAAATGCAATCAGAAGTGTCAGACCTGAAAAATTTCGTAGGCGAATTGAAAAGCTCAGTGGAAGGCCTCAGCAGCAGAGTAAGAGCGGCTGAGAACAGAATCAGTGAGCTCGAAGATGAAGTTCAGAGACTCTCCAGAAAAGAGCAGAAAATGGAAAAGAGACTCACAATTCGGGAACATATGGCAAGAGAAGATCGTGATGAAGCCAAGAGGGGTAACATAAGAATTATTGGAGTCCCAGAGGTACAGGAAGAAAACCTCGATGAAGAAGAAACTGTCAAAGAAATCATTGCTACAACATTTCCAGAGCTGAAGAAAACTTGTGACCACATTCAGGAGGCCCGAAGGGTACCAGCTAGAAGAAATCCGAATAAAAATACCCCAAGACACATCCTGATCAAAATGACCAAAACCTTAGACAGAGACAAAATTCTGAAAGCAGCAAGATCGAAGAAAGAAATCTCTTACAAAGGAGCATCCTTAAAATTCACAGCTGATTTTTCTGATGAAACCCTCATGGCCCGAAAACAGTGGTGGGACATAGTAAAAAAACTCAATGAAATAAATGTCTCCCCCAAAATACTTTTCCCAGCAAGACTCTCATTCATAATAGAAGGAACAACACACAGTTCCACAGACAAACAACAGCTCAGGAACTTCATAGACTCAAAACCATGGTTCCAAGAACAACTAAATGGGATACTTTAAGGCAAGAAAGGCCCCTCAAATACACCAAATTTTAACAGAACAATGGGACAAAATCCCATAACAATAATCTCTCTCAATGTCAATCGGCTAAACGCACCAATTAAAAGACATAGAGTGGCAGGATGGATTAGAAAATTGAACCCAACATTCTGCTGCCTGCAAGAAACGCATCTCAATAGTCAAAGCAAACACAGACTCAGAGTCAAAGGCTGGAAAATAATCCTACAGGCAAACAGCTCCCATAATAAAGCTGGGGTAGCCTTCCTTATATCAGACCACATCGATTTCAGAGTGAGGAAGGTCATAAGAGACAGTGAAGGCCATTTCTTATTGATCAAAGGATCTGTACAACAGGAAGAACTTACAATAATAAATGTATATGCACCTAATGAGAGACCAGCAAAGTACTTAAATCAACTACTCATAGATTTGGAAAAAGACATCAATAGCAACACAATACTAGTGGGAGACTTCAACACTGCTTTGTCACCTCTTGATAGATCAACCAGACTCAAGTTTAGCAAGGACATACTTCATTTGAGGGAAACAATGGAAGAAAGGGACTTAGTAGATATATATAGGACACTTCATCCACAAAAAGCTGAATACACATTCTTCTCAAGCGTACATGGAACATTCTCCAAGATAGAGCACATGCTGAGCCACAAAACATGCCTCCATAAAATTAAGAAGGTATAGATTGTATCAACAATCTTCTCAGACCATAATGCGCTGAAATTAGAAGTAAATCACACACAAAAACAGAAAACTAAATCAAACACCTGGAAATTAAACAGTGCACTATTGAACAACGAGTGGATTAGACAGGAAATCAAAGAGGAAATCAAAAGATTCCTAGAAACGAATGAAAATGAGAACACGAGTTACCAAAACTTATGGGACACAGCAAAGGCTGTGTTAAGAGGAAAGTTTATAGCTCTACAAGCATTCCTCAGGAAGGAGGAGCGAGCACACATAAGTAACCTAACCTCACAGCTTAAGAGCTTGGAGAAGGAACAAAAAAAGGAGCACAACCCGAACAGAAGAAAGGAAATAATAAAACTCAGAGCAGAGATTAACGAGATGGAAACCCAAAAAACAATCTGAAAGATCAATGAAACCAAAAGCTGGTTCTTTGAGAAAATTAACAAGATCGATAACCCTCTAGCAAAACTCACAAAGAAAGGGAGAGAGAAAGGGAGAGGGAAAAACTGAGAGCCTTCCCTCTAAGATCAGGGACGAGACAGGGATGCCCACTCTCTCCACTGCTGTTTAATACAGTACTGGAAGTACTTGCAATAGCGATTAGGTAGGAAAAAGATATTAAGGGCATTCAGGTAGGAAAGGAAGAAATCAAGCTCTCACTATTCGCAGATGATATGATACTCTACTTAGAGAACCCAATAACCTCCACCAAAAAACTCCTAGAAACAATAGACTCGTATAGTAAAGTTGCAGGTTATAAAATCATTACCCAAAAGTCCATGGCTTTCCTATACGCAAACAGTGAGAGAGAAGAAAGCAACATGAAAAAAACAATCCCGTTCACAATTGTGCCCCAGAAAATCAAGTACCTAGGAATCAGCTTAACTAAGGAAGTAAAGGACCTGTACAAAGAAAACTACAAAACGCTACTTCAGGAAATAAAAGAGGACATGTGGAAATGGAAAGATATCCCCTGCTCATGGGTCGGGAGACTTAACATTGTCAAAATGGCAATACTACCGAAAGCATTGTATAAATTCAATGCAATGCCTATAAGGATACCCATGACATTCTTCAAAGAAATGGAGAAAACACTCCTGAAATTTATATGGAACAATAAGCCCCCACGAATAGCTAAAGCAACTCTTGGGAAAAAGAAAATGGGAGGAATCAACCTACCTTACTTCAAACTGTACTACAAAGCAATAATAATTAAAACAGCATGGTACTGGAACAAAGGCAGAACTGCAGACCAATGGAACAGGGTTGAATACACTGACATCTCTCCTCAATCATATGCTCATCTAATCTTTGATAAAGGTGCAAGTAATGTGAAGTGTAGTAAGGAAAGCCTCTTTAATAAATTCTGTTCGCATCACTGGACGGCTACATGCAAAAAAATGGGCTCAGAACTCTGCCTAACACCATGTACAAAAGTAAGATCAAAATTGATTAAAGACCTCAAAATCAGACCAGAAACCATAAGGTACATTGAAGATAAAGTTGGCAAAACCCTCCATGATATTGAAGCTAATGGTATCTTCAAAGATGCCATGCCATTGGCCGAGCAAGTGAAAACAGAGATAGATAAATGGGACTATCTTAAACTAAGAAGCTTCTGCACCTCCAAAGAAACAATGACCAAAATACAAAGACAGTCTACAGAATGGGAAAGGATATTCACCGAATACACATCTGACAAGGGGTTGATATCAAGGATATACAAAATACTGGTTGAACTCCACAAGAAGAAAACATCCAACCCCATCCAAAAATGGGGCAATGAAATGAACAGAAACTTTCTCAAAGAAAAAATCTGAATGGCAAAAAAGCACATGAGAAAATGCTCTACATCATTAATCATCAGGGAGATGCAGATCAAAACCACAATGAGATACCATCTCACACCTCAGAGACTGGCCCACATTCAAAAGAACAAAAGCAACCGATGCTGGCGTGGATGTGGCGAGAAAGGGACACTCCTTCACTGTTGGTGGGAATGTCAACTGGTTCAGCCCTTCTGGAAAACAGTACGGACGATTCTCAAAAAATTAGAAATTGAGCTCCCATTTGACCCAGCAATACCACTCCTGGGAATATATCCCAGAGAGGCAAAAATGTATAGTCGAAGTGACATCTGCACTTGTTTGTTCATTGCAGCACTCTTTACAATAGCCTGAAACTGGAAGAAACCTGAATGCCCAAGAACAGATGACTAGTTAAAGAAACTTTGGTACATCTACACAATGGAGTACTATGTAGCTGTTAGAAAAGATGAAGTCATGAAATTTACATACAAGTGGTACAATATGGAAAGTATCATGCTAAGCGAAATGAGTCAGAAAGAGAGGGATAGACATAGAAAGATTGCATTCATCTGGGGGATATAAATTAACAAAGTATGAGATTAATACCCAAGAATAGCTGAGATCAGCACCAGGAGGATTACTCCATAACTTAGAGGCCAGCCGGGTATCCTAGAGGAAAGGGCAGTTCAGATAGAGAAGGGAGCACCAAATAAAGGATGTTTAGAGGATCCTCCCAGGAGGGGAGATGCATGTCGAAAGTAGACTATGGACTAAACATGTTTGCCACTCAATGCCTCTTTTGCAGACCACAACACCCAAAAGGAGAGAGAGAACACAGGGGATTGCCCTGCCACAGAGACAGGGGGGATGGGGGTGGGGGTGGGAGGGATATTATCCATGGTGGTGGAAAATGGGCACTGGTGGAGGGATGGGTATCTGATCGTTGTATAATTGAAACCAAAGCATAAAAAATTGTAAATCTACAACTGTAAAAAAAATAAAATAAAATAAAATAAAGGGAAAAAATACACAGAAGCCTTTTTTAATTATAGCTCAATTTCATTGGACTTTATTCTACTGGTCTTTGGCTCACACATGGAGATGCTCAGGGGTTACTTGAAAATTACTTGAACTGAAAGGTGTGCTGATATTTTCCCTTAGAGAATGTTTATCTCACATGCCCCAAATCAATGTATGTTTAAAAAGAAATTTATTTATTTTCAATGCTTTAATTTCTTTATTTTCTTTGGTTTTTGGATGACCCCCAATATAGCTCAGAGATCAATATTGGCTCTATGTTCAAATTACTCTGGAGGGCTCAGAGAACCAGTATTTATTTTTATATTTATATTTTATGAAATATGAAAGTACATAAGCACTTCACCCCAACTTTTGAAACATTATTTAAAGTAATCCTTTGTGTAAAAATTATTAAGATCATGAATGGTAACAATTACTTACTAATACATTCAGGTTGAGCTGACCATCCTTTTTCCTGACATATAATTGTTCCTGAAGTTTTACCATTTGCTGTTGCATATCCTGGTTTGCACTTGTATTGTGCTTCCTTATTTAAGGAATATTCAGTAGTAGTTTCAGAAAAAAAACCATTCTGAATTTCTATTTCTGAACATGTTTCTAAAAAGGAGAAAGCATAAAGAAAAGACAAGTATTCATTTAATAATCATTTTCATAGGAAGTTAAATAATACATAATCTTATCAAACAGAACATTTAAAAGAAAAGATTTTAATATGTCAGTTCTTTTGTCAGAGAAAATAGATTTAGTTTCTCAAGAGACTTTATCAACAAATATTATAAAAAATTTATTGAGACCTGGAAGGACAGTACAGATGCTAGTGTACATGTTTTGTCTATGTTTGGTCCCAGCTCCATGCCACATGATCCTCAGGGCATTTTGGGTGCAGAGTTGAAGGTCTCTGAACCCTGTTGTGGTGGTCAGATATCCTGTGCACTTCAGGGCCATAGAACTAATGAACACTCTAATCTTTGTGTTGAACTGCTGCTGCTTGGGAGTCCCTGTTTGGGAAGCCTAAACAAACAACGTTGAAGCAAAGCAATATCAAACACTCCAATTTCTTCTCTGGAATCATGAGAGATTTGTCTAAGAAGCATGGAGCCTACTGTATCCCAGAGCTTTTCCTATGTTGAGTTCTGTACTGTCTTTTTTTAAATATTGCCTAGTTTGGTTCTCTCTCTCTCTTTCTTTCTCTCTTTTTTTAAAGTAGGAGTACTGCTATTTATTCAATTGTTGATTAAGCTGACTGAATTGGATATGAACTCTACATTAGTTTTCAGAAAAAAAATTATTGGATATCTGTGAGATAGATGATTACAAAGCTGCTCATAATTGGGTTTTAGTCATACAATGATCCAGCACCCATTCCTCCATCAGTGTACCTTTCCCACCAGCAACTTCGCCCATTTCTCCACCACCATTTTCCAAACCCTCACCCCTACCCCCAAGCCTCCCTCTATGTGAGGCACTTTCCTTCTTGTTCTCTCTTTTCTTTTCTTTTAATGCATTATGGTTTTCAATACAGGTACAAAGATGTTTTGGTGTTTGTTCAGGGCGTTTGGTACATTTTTCAGATTGGTAAGGCTGGAGTAGTTTTTCAATTGGGTGGAAGCTTGGTGTATGCATTTGGTTGTCGAGGCTTCTGAAAGTGTAGAGAGGTGGGGGAGGTAGCCCATCCCAACCCTGAGAAAGTTTGGAGATTTCAATGTCAAAACCCACATACCAAAATTTTCAGCAGATTATACCTTGGTGAGGTGCGTCCTGAGATGGTAGAGCCAGGCCGGAGCTATGGAGGTGATTTTGGATTGTGGAAACAGGCGGCTGCCGGTACCTCTGTTTGGGTAGCACTGATCAAAACACATCCTTCCAATTTACCCTGGTCTGTTCAGACATACATGAGTCTGAGCTTAACTGAGACTTTTGATCTCTTTCAAGATTTATTTATGGGTCTCTGAAGCAAGGTCAGTGGTAGAGCTTACAGGGTGTTGCTGGCGTTGGTTTGGAAGGTGACTGCCAGTGCTTCCATAAGTATAGGGAGGTGGGGGTGGTAGCCTATTCCAGCTTCAAGAGAGCCTGGAGATTTCAGTCACAAGACCTGCATACCAGGATTTCCAGCAGATTACATCTTGATGAGATCTGTCCTGAGACGGTGGAGTTAGGCCAGGGATATGGTGGCAATTTTGGATTGTGGAAGCAAGTAGCTGCTGGGGGCTCTTCTAGGGCTGGCCACCAGGCCAACCTTCCCCCTTATAATTTACCCCAGTCTGTTCAGCCATGTGCAGGTCTGAGATTAACTGTGGCTTTTGATCTCTTTCGAGATTTATCTATGAGTCTCCAAAATAAGGCCAATAAATGAGCTGCTATAGTAGAGCTGGAGGTGGTTTGGGGTGTGGCTCCCACATACCTAACTTTTGGCCCTTTAATTTCTTAGTAAAGTTGGTCCCAAGTTTCTGGGGGTCTGGCCAAAGATACAATGATAATTTTGGAGTATTAGGAAGTCCAAAGACACCGTCAGACTGCTGATCCAATCGCCCCACAGGTACAGGTTGACCTGTTCTTGGCACCATATCCCCCTAGTTTGATTCTCTTAATAAACCCAATTGCAACTTCTCAACTTAGACCCTGATAATCTCAGTTTAGGCCCTTCTACAACAGCTATTACAGTTTTTGACGTTGAGAATGTGAAATGTTTGTCTTGGAAATTGTTGCTTAATGCCATATGAATTTATGCTGTTCAAACAATTTGGTGAATTTCAGCACATTCATTCAACTATCTTCTAAAGTCAAATTTACAGAATGCTATTTGACAAGACAGTAAGAGCAGATTCATGTCAGTTACTATTTGTCTTTCCAGAACTCAACATCATTTATTCAAAATTTTGGATCAAAATATTTTGAAATGATTAAAAGAAAGACATCATAAATAAAATTTCATAAGATGGGATAATGTAGTTATGACAGAGAAATTTGATCATTATATTTATATAAATGAAAATAACAAAGATTACTGATTGACCAAATTCACTGCAAGAAAGTAAAAAAAGAAATTTGGAAAGAATCACATTATACAGCCAGTTATTGAAAGCTTTCCAAATCAACATGTAGTTGACAGTATAACTTGTTCATAAAATACAAGCGTCCATCAAGAAAAAAACCCAAATTATAACCTCACTGCACCTCTTAAATTACTAGAAAAAGACCAACAAGGAAAACCCAATAAAGCAGAAGGGGAGAAATATTAAAACTTAAGAAAATTCAATGAAATAGAAACAATTTTACAGAATATCAACAAAGCCAGCAATGTCTTTTAAGTAGAATAAACAAGATTGTGAAACTAGCAATTGTAATTCAATTTAGAAAGAAACAAGATAGACAACTCTAAATCGCCATATCAGAAATAAAGGAAGTTCTAAAAAATACCACAAAAAATTTCACAGTATCATCCAAGATACTATAAAAAAGATTTGTCATGAAATTGGAAAACCTAAAAGATACAAATATTTCTCTTGGAATTCTTTAATCTCTCAAGACTAAGTCAGGAGGAAACAGCACACCTCATTAGTTAAAGGTAAAAGGTAAAGGCCCTCCCGTTGATCATCGGTTTGCTCAAGCGTGCCCAGTAACGTCTCCATTGGAGACTTTGTTGTTGTTACTGTGTCTGGCATATCGCATACTCTCGGTAGCTTGCCGGGCTCTCCGAGAGGGGCGGAGGAATCGAACTCGGGTCGGCCATGTTGGCTGCTTGTAAGGCGAACGCCCTACCGCTGTGCTATCGCTCCAGCCCCTGGAGCGTAGCACAGCAGTAGGGCATTTGCCCTGCACACAGCCAACATGGTCGACCCGAGTTCGATTCCTCCGCCCCTCTCGGAGAGCCTGGCAAGCTACTGAGAGTATCTCGCCTACACTGCAGAGCCTGGCAAGCTCCCTGTGATGTATTCGATATGCCAGACACAGTAACAACAAAGTCTCCAATGGAGACGTTACTGGACCTCATTAGTTATTAATGAGGAAATGAAAATAATAACTGTAAGTCTCCCTCAAGGGATTGGGAAATAATACAGTGATTAGGACACATGATTAGGTTGGTCCAGATGCAAGTTCAACAACCAGCACAGCATGGTCTCTCAAAGATTGCAACTTCCCACACACTCCTCTGGAGTGTCCAAGTATCTCTAGCATCACAGGATCTGACTAACATCACATCATCAGTATTTTTACACTAAACTGCCACCATAGCTGATGATGAAATGCCTGTGTGACCCCTGAGTCCCTGAGCTTCACTTTTGATGCCCAGTTCCCACCCAACAAAATAATAATCAAATCCAAAAACCACCAAAAATGTCATACTGAAAATAAAAGCCCCATTAAGCCCTGCCATAGATGCAGGGTGGGATGGGGGGGTGGGGGGTGGGAGGGATACTGGGACCCATGGTGGTAGAAAATGGGCACTGGTGGAGGGATGGGTATTTGATCATTGTATAATTGAAATCCAAAAATTTGTAAGTCTATGACTGTAACTCATGGTGTTTCACTAATAAAAATTTAAACAAAATCTTAGAAGGTAAAATAAATAAACAAATAAAAGCCCCATTCAATAGGGCTTACTAGTAAATTTTTCCAAACCGTCAAAGAACTTTTTCTTTTCTTTATTCTTAAATGACTTTCAGAAGGTCAATGAAACTGGAATTATCCTGACACTTTTTGTCTTGTTTTGTGCCTGGATACCACATCCCACATGCTCAGAATTTACTCCTGGATCTGCCCTCAGGAATTTCTCCTGGCAGTAGTCAGGGAACCATATGGGATTTCTGGGATTGAATCTGGTTGGCCAAATTCAGAGTGCCTTTACCTATTGTACCGTCACTCCAGCTCAGACTCCTGACACTTTCTATGTGGCCATTGTTATCCTGATATCAAAAACAGAGAGAAACAGTATATAAAAGAAACTTAAAGAACAACACCCATGATGAACATAGATGGTAAGATCCTCAACAAAACCAAGAGGAACCAAACCCCAGCCCACAAAGCATTAAAGGAATCATAAACTATGATCAAGTTGGACTCACATCACATTTGCATATTGATTTGTATGCAAATCAATAAAATATATCACACCAATACAAGTAAGGAAACGTGGATTTCATCCAATGTTTCTCTGCATCAATGACTTTAATCTTTCCTTCCTTCTAGGATAAAATACCCATCTATGATAAAAAAAAAACCTGAATAAAATAGAGAGAGAAATTTTCCTCAAATAACTTGAAGGTATTTACAAATTCAAGCTAAGATAATACTCGATGGTATGAAACTGACAGATTTTCTTCAAAGATAAGGCCCAGGAAATGGATTCCCACTCTCAGTACAATTCAACTTAGCTTGTAAGTCTTTTCACAGCAATAGGACAAGAAATGATATTAAAGGGAATCCAGTCAGAAAAGTAAATCACACTTCTTGCATGTAACATAATATCACACTTATCAAAATCCCTAAAAAAAACTACTAAAACTCCTAGAAACAATATATCTATACAGGAAAGTGGCAGAAATCGAATGCATTTTATATGCTAACAGTGGAAAAGGGAAAAGCAAAAATAAAGCAATCTCATTCACACTGTGCCCTAAAGAAACTGATACCTGGAAATCCACTAAACCAAAGAGATTCTATGTTTTCTAAACATAAAGAGAAGCATCAATAATTAAAACAGAACAAAATGCAAAGAATTGGAAACACTTCCACTGTTAAAGGTTTGAAGAATTATCATTGTTAAAATAATCATATTACATATACAGTGCTGTACCTGTCAATATGCATGTGATGTTTTATTATTATTAAAAATAATATTATTTCAATATTATTATTGATTATCATCAATAATATAAATGTAAAAGGTAAAGGCCCTCCAGTTGATCGTCGATTTGCTCGAGCGGGCCCAGTAACGTCTCCATTGGAGACTTTGTTGTTACTGTGTCTGGCATATCGAATATTCTCGGTAGCTTGCCGGGCTCTCCAAATCAATAATATAATTATATTATTTATATAAAATAAATAAATATATAACATGTAAATTTATATAATATATTGAGAGAGTCTCCTGCCCGGCACCTGGCTGTGCTCACCAGGGCTCCTTGGAGGGTGGCAGGTTGAGTTTCCCTCTCCACCCCTAGCAGAGCCTCGGCAGCTGAAGACCTCTGAGAACCAGCCACAGCCATGCTAAGACCACTCTCCACACAGTGGGACAAGCCTCACACAAGGCATCGGCAGAAGAACCCAGGTGTGAAGACCCAGGGCTGGGATCTCCAAGCCTGCTTGGTTCTGGACTGTGCCTCCTCCACCTAAATACCCCATCTTCCAGTAGCTAGGCAGTTACACTCACCAACTGCCGTGTAACCCCATCAATGGCCACGGTCCAGAGAATGTAAAACCAAACTTCCGGAAGTACTTATTGTCTAGTTCTCACTCTCAGAGAACCTGGCAGGCTACTGAGAGTATCCTGCCCGCATATATGCCTGACTGCGGACATCTGTAAAGGTGATTAGAGGCTCCCCTAATAGCCTCCATCCCTCTTGGAGAACTCAGCAAGCTACCAAGAGTATCCTGCCCACACGGCAGAGCCTGGCAAGCTACCCGTGGCATACTCAATATGACAAAAACAGTAACAGTGATGGTTCTCATTCCCCTAAACCTGAAAGAGCCCCCAATATGCCATCGGGCTACACTAGCATGTGACAGGGACGAATGGAGACATTACTCACCTGCTTGAGCAAATCGATGAACAAAGAGGTGATAATGATAGAGTGATATAGTGATATCAATTGACTGATTGTCACACCCAGAAATGCTCAGAGGACATTCCCCAGCTCTGCACTCAGGTATAAACTGCTGGCAGTGTTCAGAGGACCTTATGGGAAGTCAGTGATTGAACCCATGGCAACTACAAGTAAGATAAACATCTTATCCACTGCAGTATCTCTCTGGCCCATTGTAGGGCATTTTTAATTATATAGAATAGGTTAGATGTAGTAATAAATTTCCCATAATAGTCAATGCAGTCTCAAGAAAAGGAAGATGAGAAAGTTTTCTTTACCCAAAGTTCTCTTTATCAGGGAAAAGCAAGTCAAGTTATGACTTCCCACCAGTGAGACTACGACATGTCAAAAAGATGGGAATAAATCAGAGCTAACAAGAATGTATAGAAAAGGAACCTTCCTCCGCTGTTTGTGAGAATGATCCTTGGTTCAGCCTCTTTGGAAAATAATCAGAAGTGGCAATTCCACTTCTTGCATATATCCCAAGCTACCAAAAACACTATTGAGAGAAAAGACATTTGCACTTTGGCATTTATTATAGGGTGATCCAGAATGACCAAGTTCCAGGAATAACCCAAATGCTTAAGAACAGAGGAGTGGATAAAGAAATGAAAGTCCATATGCACAACAGAAGACTACTCAGCTATATGAACTGGTGAAATCCTGACATTTTCTGCAATGTAGATGGAAGTAGATGATACTATGGTCTAAGTCTAATAATAAAACATTTTATTTTGATTTTTGATTGCTAAGTCCTATTGATAATATTAAATTAAAACATTTTGTATTCCTTTTTTGTTTCAGACATATACTGCTTTATCCTTTTTTCAGTCCACTATCCTCCAGGAGCGTCCCCAGTTTTTCATCCAACCCTCGCCTGCCTCTGTGGCTGGCACTTTCCCCCTATCTATTGTCCTAGTATTCCCTTCCTACTCCTACTTTATCCCACTCATCCCTATCCCAGTGCCAATCTTCCTATGAAGACCAACTCTCCTGCTCCTCATCTCTCTTGACTTTGGTCATTTGGTATTCCTCTTCAAGTTTTCTTTATATCCCACATATGAGACAGAGCATTCTGAGATGAGACTGTGTTGATTGAAATGAGTCAGCAGGAGGATGTACACAGTGGGAATTCTTTTATTTTAAAAGAAGAATTAAGGCATGAGTTAAAAACTAATGTATAGCTGAATTTCAGGTATATAGTGTTCATGAATAAATTCTTTCACATGTGGAATATTTTTTAAAAGCTTAGAGAATGCATGTGTTGCTTCCCTGCACTATTTGTTTATATCCTGCAGATGAGAGAGATCATTCTTTCTTCCCTTTCCCCCTTAGTAAGTTCAAATAGCACAATACTCGAGATTTATACACATAAAAACAAACTGTATGATTTCCTGATTTTTACATTTTTAATTGAATAACCGTGAGATACAATTACAAAGCTTTCATGTTTGAGTTTCAGTCATACAATGATCAAACACACATTCTTCCACCAGTACACATTCTCCACCACCAATGTCCCCATTATATCCTCCCCCCTTTTCCAAACTCTCCCTGCCTCGGTGGCAGAAAATTTCCCCCATACTCTGTCTACATTGGGGCTTTATGGTTTGCAATGTAGATACGGAGAGGCTATCATATTTTGTCCTTTATCTACTTTCAGCACACATCTCCTATCCCGAATGATCCCTCCAACCATCACTGACTTAGTGCTCCCTTCTGTATTTCAGCTGCCTTCTCCCCAAGCTCATGAGTCAGGCTTCCAACTATGGAGCAATCTTCCTGGTCCTTGTGTCTTCTGAAGTTGGATGTCAGTCTCATGTTATGTTATTTTATATTCCACAAATGTGTGCAATAATTCTATGTCTGTCCTTCTCTCTATGATTCATTTTACTTAGTATAATACTCTTCATGACCATCCACTTATAAGCAAATTTCATGACTTTATCTTTCCTAACAGCTACATAGCATTTCACTAGGCAGATGTACCAAAGTTTCTTTCATCAGTCGTCTGTTCTCAGGCACTGAGGTTGTTTCCAGGTTCAGGCTATTGTGAACAGTGCTGCAATGAGTATACAGGTGCAACTACAGGCTAATATCCCTCATGAACACGGATGCAAAAGATACTCAACAAAAGCATAGCAAAAAGAAACCAACGACCCATCAAAATGATCATACACCATGACCAAGTAGGATTCATCCCAGGGATGCAAGAATGGTTTAACATTTGCAAGTCAATCAGCATAATTCATCATATCAATAAAAAACATGAAAACCGTATGATCAGATCAATAGATGCAGAGAAAGCATTTGACAAGATCAAGCACCTGTTTATGATGAAAACTCTCAGCAAAATGGGCACTAAAGGAACTTTCGTCGATATAGTCAAAGCAATCTACCACAAGCCATGGAAAGCATTATTCTAAAAGGAGAGAAACTAAAAACCTTCCCTCTAAGATCTGGAACAAGACAAGGTTGCCCACTCTCCCCACTCCTATTCAATATAGTACTGGAAGTTTTGGCCATAGCAGTTAGGCAAGAAAAAGATATCAAGGGTATACAGATAGGAAGCCTATCACTATTTGTGGACAATATGATCCTAAAGACATTACCGAAAAGCTTCTGGAAACCATAGGTTTGTATAGTAAAGTGGTAGGCTACAAAATCAACACTCAAAAGTCAATGACTTTCCTATATACAAATTATGAAAGAGAAGAAATATATTTTAAAAAACCATGTTCATACTAGTGTCTAAGAAAATCAAGTACCTTGGAATCGATTTTGTGTTTTCTTACACAGAATTTACTTACTGTCTTTGAGAGAGAAATACATTCTATAAGCAATGCTAGGGTTTCTAAGACTTCCTATGAGCCTCTGTTTATGAATCCTACATGGTTTTTTCCTGTTTGGAGACATTGCATGGTAGTACGTTTTCTCTCACACTTGCAGAATTAATCCAGCTATAGATAGCATCCTCTTTGCTTTCTTAAGATCAAAGCTGAATGCTGTATTTTCCTTTTCAGAAGACTTAGAGTTGGCTATTTGTGTGCAATTATTCAACATCTACAAATGCTTGGCTTTTACAGTGAAAAATGGGACAGGTCATGGCATGAGGATTGGGTGTGAGTTAAATGTGCAGGGAATTAATTGGGTCCATGAGCGAAAAGAGTCAACAAGCAAGGGTTTCCTTGGGTCTTGGAAGTGGGGTTTCTAGATCAGAAAACTGACTAGTAGGATCCATTAATAATTTTTGAGCCTCTTTAATGTCAGAATCAATTTTTACCAACTATGTGAAAATATTTATGCAACAGTCTCTGAATCCCACAGTGATAGTCATAGGGGTGCTTGTCAGCATGCAGGTCATTTGGAGAAGTCATTCCTATCCTGCCATCTTGCTTACCTGAGTCTTTCCTACAGATTTCAACATTTTTTTCTATTTTACTACATTTGTGACACATAGTTATCAAGAAATCTGTATGGTATCCATTCATACACAGAAAACATAAGTTTAAAATTAAGAAAGTTATGTAAGCAGAAAATAAAACATAAGTTTAAAAATAAAACATAACTTTAAATTAATGAAAGTTATATAAGCAGAAAAATAAGAAAGAATCTATTGCACATATGAACTATTTGCAATTGATACAAATGAATTTAAAAACAAAAACAAGCATAAACTGGGAGCTCAGACCCCTTTACTTACTGATACGCACGCATCTGGCAGGAGGGGACCAGCCATCCTCTGTACATTTCATTACTTTCTCCCCATTTGGAAGACCAAAGCCATTATTGCACTGAGGTATCACAGATTCACCCTGGTAATATGCTTTTGTTATCCATATCCACTTTCCATTTTCCAAATAACTAAAGAGGCATTTTCCTAATGAATATTAAAATGAAAAATAAAAGTTTAATAATTTCCCATTGGTCTTAGCTGAGGATGCATAAGCATAGTGAATATCTATGCTATTTACTATACAATAATTTTTTAAAAGACAAATTAATTTTATTTATTTATTTATATTTCTTTTCTTTTTGTAGTTAAAATATGTACATGATACAGTTAAAAATTTACTATTGATATTTCTAGATAATTTTCCAGGAAGAAACTCTCCTGGTACAAAGACTTACTTTGCTTCTAAAATTCAGCGCAGTGATGTGGGAAAAAGGTTCAAAGAGCTGGAATGCAGGCCTGGTATGTCCTAGGTTCTGAGTTGCAACCCCCATACTGCATAACCTTCTATAGTCCTTGTAGCCCCCTGTTGAGGAGATATTCTCCACTCCCATTCACATCAAATCTATCTCTTTGTCTTATTGCCACATACGTGGTAAAAACAACATTTACTCACTGCGGCAAGGCACTTCTGGCTTCCATCCTGTTATTGTGCACCTGATGTATTCCCAGGTTCTGTCGGAAGGCGTCGCAAAATTTTCATGACAGTGATAGTAGAACTGTTTTCCTACAGGTACTGGAAAGTATGGTCTGTGTCTGCTTTCCTCATGTAGGGCTCCATGTGGTATGTTTGGAAAATCACAAGGTTTGACTTGTAATGAAAAAAGAAGTGTAACTATAGTCAGAGCTTTAAAGGAATTAATTAGAAATCTTATTAAACATAAAGTATATCCTGTATGTTTACACTTATTTCATGAGTTTCAAGGACAAGAAAAGTTATAAAATTTAATTGATAGAGGTATGGGAACATGAGGCCCTTGCGAATGAAGTTATTATATCTTTGGCATTGAAATGAGCTTCAGTGATAAATCTTGTGCCTTGCCTGTTAAAGGTTTCTATTTGATCCTGAAGGTTATACACACACACATACTGCTCAAACATATGTGTATGGGTGTATCTTATGAGTCATGTAACACATAAATTTGTTTTTAGCCTCTCCAAGATGAAAACTGCTCACATATATTTAATGAATTCTCTCTAAGCCTAGTCCCATTCTGTTTGTGTGATGACAGTACTGATTTTATCATTCATAATTTTCTTTTTATGTTTTTCGTCATCATTAGAAATCATAGGCCTGTCTTTTACTCTAATACAAAGCAATGTAGGCAGATAGCAGGGTTTATTTGTTGTGCATACTAATATCTAGTTAATTTTTTAATTTTCAGAAACACCCTAAAATATAGAAAACAGAATGTTTGGTTGAACATATACCCCTGAGTAATATTTCTGGGGCTGGAAGAGAGTATGTCATGTTAGGTGCTTGAGTTGCAAATGGCAGACCCAGATTTGATCTCAACATTCCATATGATTCCCACAATCCACCAGGATTGATTCTTCAGTTAGAAGTAACAGAGAGTATCACCAGGTGTAGTTCAAAAAAGAAAAGAAAAGAAAAGAAAAAGAAAAGCAAAGGAAAGGAGAGAAAAGATAGAAAAGAAAAGAATAGTTTTATTAATAACTCAAATCAATCATTGAGACTATTTATTTATAAAGACATTATTCTTGCTTTATTCATTGGAAGATATTTTTGAGAGGGTAATGCAGAGAGAATTATAGGTCTCACCTATCAATGCTCAGAACTTAGTCCTGGCTCAGTGCTCAGAGATCATTCCTGGTAGTGCCCTGCGGACCATATTCAGTGCTGGGAAATAATCAAAGTTGGCTCCATGCATGCAACTTCTGTACCATCACTGGCCCTTAATAATAAATTTTAATTTTCAAGTATCTAAGATAATGGGAAACATCTTTTTATTATTGAAATTGGAAAACAGGGAATTTTTAATTTCTTATTTTCAAAGGAGGAATATTACTATATTTATTGAGCTATTCTTATATACTGAATTGTGAATTTTTATTGTATTTCCTCTATCCTATTAAATTACTGGAGAAAAAAATAATAGAGTATGCCTGAAAATTTATCAAATAACAACTTACCAAATATCTTTTAAGTATCCTATATATATATTTAATGAGTTGAGAGCTGTCTGCTAAACTAACAACCCTGGCAGTCTCCCTACGCTGTCCACAAAATTTCACAATTCTCTTGTGGAAGAATCCTGTTGATGTTGAGATACAGTTGTGGTGCTGTACCATTTCATAAACCAATCATAATGAATGAAATAATTATGAATGCTAGGAACTGGCCCTGCATCAATTTTCTCAACCTTGGGGCCCTGGAAAGGTCCCCTATGCCCAGTGATGCCTGGATTGGATAGGCGAGGACAAAGGGCGGTTCTCACGCACCTTCTGCGTTCCTGTTTCCCATCCCTCTCAGCTCTATGTTAGGAACCAGCACTGCAAGGGTCTTCTCAGTCCCCAGATGTTTTAGTCTTAAAATAATGAGACTAAGGGCTGGAGTGATAGCACAGCGGTAGGGCGTTTGCCTTGCACACAGCCAACATGGCCGACCCGAGTTCGATTCCTCCGCCCCTCTCAGAGAGCCTGGCAAGCTACCGAGCGCGGCAGAGCCTGGCAAGCCACCCGTATTCGATATGCCAAACACAGAAACAACATATGCCAAATTCGATGTATTCGATATGCCAAACACAGTAACAACAAAGTCTCCAATGGAGACGTTACTGGGCCCGCTCGAGCAAATTGATGATCAACGGGAGGGCCTTTACCTTTACCTTTACCTTAAGGACATGACACACTATTTAAAAATCGCTGTAGAATTGGTCAACTTTAATTTTTCTATTTTTTAGAAATTGATGAAAAAGAATTAGTTTTGGGCAAAAGAAAAGAATTTGACGCCTGAAGAATTCTTAAATCATTGCTAAAGGAAGTCCTTAAACAAAAGACTGTAAAGGAAGAGAGAATCAGTGATCTCAATAGGTCAAAGAATGTTACATCTGAGGAAGATAAAATAATGAAGTAATAGCACCGGAGCCACCGGAGCGAGTCTGGCGCGGGGGGGAAGAGGCGCGAAGCCTGCGCGGGAACAAAGTGGGCAGGCCCGGCTTTGTCTCGGCATGCGGGGCACCGCGAGCTGCTGGAATGCCCAGTGGCCACTGCACTCGCGCCAGCGCAGCGCCCTGAGCAGTGGTGGCAGAGTGCGGCCACTGGCTCGTGGACTGCCGCATCCTGCAGCAAGATCACCTAGCCAAGGGCCACAGTCTTTGACCTGGCGCAGGCGCTGCACGACCACGTGCTACTGTGCCAGCGGCTGCACCAGCTCTGACCCGACTCCGTGGTTCCCAAGGACAGCAACTTCTGGCCGCAGATGTCGCAAGTCCTGTGTCGGAAGAAACATCCGCACCTTCCTCCGGGTGGGCCATGACGTGTTTGGACTCCACAGCTCTGACCTCTTCCACCCCTTTGACCTCTTCCATGTCCGGGACTTCGGGAAGGCCTTTTCCCTCGGAGGACACGGTGGAGAATGAAGGTGACATCTGCTGCAGCCTGGAGGAGTTCGCCAACGAACATGACCTGGACGAGGACATCTACGGCTGTGTCCTGTGGAGGATGACGGCACGACGTGGAAGAGGACGTCATCAGGATGGAGGCGCAGCCGCCCATGAAAATGGGCATGAGCCGGGATGACAAGCGCAGCCGCTGCCTGCTGGAGATCCAGAAGAACGAGGCCAAGTACTGCGACACACTGGAGGGCGTGCAGAAGAGTTATGTGGGCCCCCTCATGCCGTTGCTGAGTCCCGCGGACATGGCCACCATCTTCATCAACCTGGAGGACCTGATGAAGGTGCACCAGAGCTTCCTGAGGGCCATCAATGTGACCATGCTGGCGGGCGGCGGCTCCCCGGCCACCGTCTCGCTGGACTTCAAGGAGTGGCTCCTGATCTACGGGGACTACTGCAGCCGCATGGAGCATGCCCAGAACATGCTCAACCAGCTGCTGGCCACCCGCGACGACGTGAGGCAGAAGGTCGAGGAATGCACGCTGTAGGTCTAGGACGTGAAGTTCAAGCTCCAGGTGGTGCCCATGCAGAGGGTGCTCAAGTACCACCTGCTGCTCAAGGAACTCCTGAGTTAGTCCACGGATCGGCTGGACAGGCAGCAGCTCAAGGAAGTTTTGGAAGCTATGCAGGACCTCGCCATGTACATAAACGAGGTGAAGAGGGACAAGGAGACTCTGAAGAAAGTGGCCAAGTTCCAGAGCTGCATTGAGAACCTGCAGCTGAAGCTGGAGGAGTTTGGGCGGCCAAGATGGGGAGCTGAAGGTGCGTTTAATGGTCAACCACACCAAGCAGGATGGGTACTTGTTCCTGTTTGACAAGGTGGTGATTGTGTGCCAGTGGCAGGGCTACAGCTATGAGCTGAAGGAGATCATTGAACTGCTGGCCCACAAGGTGTTGGAAGACCCCATGAACAACAAGGACATCAAGAAATGGTCCTATGGCTTCTACCTCATCCACCTGCAAGGCAAGAATGGCTTCCAGTTCTTCTGCAAGACCAAGGACATGAAGTGCAAGTGGATGGAGCAGTTTCACGTGGTTATGTCCAATGTGAAGCCCGACAAGGCCGGTGCCAACCAGCACGCCTTCCAGATGTTCACATTCGCCAGGACCACCAGGTGCCGCACCTGCCGCATGCTGCTCAGGGGCACTTTTTACCAGGGATATCTGTGCACCTGGTGCAGTGTCGGCACACACAAGGAGTGTCTGGCGGTGACACTGCCCTGAAAGACAGGTTCCCCTGCAGATGCGGACACACCCAGAGCGGGACCAGATCCCAAGACGGTGGCTGTGCAGAGTTACCACGGCAGCCCCGTGCCCCCCGGAAGCCGGTGCTCACATTCCAGATGGGCGACATCATCGGGCTGCTCAAGGGCGACCCCGAGTTCCTGTGGTGGGAGGGCCAGCTGGTGCTGACCCGAGAGTCTGACTGCTTCCCCAGCACGTCTGTGAAGCCATGCCCCGCAGACCGGCGGCTGCCTGTTTCCCGACCACCCTCCTGCGAGCTTGACTACACCATGTATCCCTGGTTCGTGGGCAGCATGGGGAGTGGAGAGGCAGCAGACGGACACCCTGCTGAAGTCCCATGCCAGCGGCACCTACCTCATCTGGGAGTGTCCGGCTGAGCCCGAGCACTTTGCCATCAGCATCAAGTTCAATGACGAGGTGAAGCACATCAAGGTGGTGTAGAAGGACGACTGGATCCACATCACTGAGGCCAAGAAGTTCGAGAGCCTCCTTGGAGCTAGTGGAGTACTACCAGTGCCACTCGTTCAAGGAGAGCTTCAAGCAGCTGGACACAACCTTCAAGCACCCCTACAAGTCCCGGGAGCACTTGACCACTAGGGCCTCCAGCTGGTCCCCAGTCTTCGCAGGGCCATGTCCAGGTACAGCTTCACTGCCAGGGACATGCGGGAACTCTCGCTGCGGGAGGGGGATGTGGTGAAGATCTACAACCGGGGCTGGTGGAAGGGCGAGACCCACGGCCGGATCGGCTGGTTCCCTTCGACATACGTGGAGGAGTAGGGCGTCCAGTGACGCGGGAGCCTGGACGGGACATTCTTGGGAAGCTGCAGCTCTGGTCTCGCTCTGGCTCCAGGACTCCGGGGGCCATGCCCGCCCGCCGGCATCTGTCTCCCCTAGGCTGCAGGCTGGGGTGGGCTTCCACAGAGGAGTGGTGGGCTGGCCCTGTGGGACTGTTGTCACTGGAGCCCTGAGCCGGGAAGGTTGGGGGTCTTGCCTGCCCCTCGGAGCCCTACTTCTTGCTGCTCCAGGGTGCCCGAGCCCGCCTGTTGGATGTGCTCGGCTTCTCATGACTCCGGCAGCCAGCGTGTATAGAGACCCCCGGGGTGCGCACCCTGCCATGATACTGTTCTTTGTCCTGAGTTCCAGGATGTCCCTGTGCCTGTCCTTGTCCTGCTGCCAGAAGCGTAATGGGAGAGTCTGCCTGGGCCCTCTGCGCACCACTCAGGCAGCCCTGTCCCCATACCGTGAGCTGCCTGGGCTCGCCCCACACAAGTGCTCTTGGGGGCGCCTCTTTCCGCATGCTCCCCACGGACTCCCCCTGGGCCCGGGCTCAGTCAGTTTCTATTTACTCTGCATGTGTCACAGGATCTGGTGACACTGGCCTAGCTTCCGTCCATTCTGGTGGTACCCGGGTAGGGAGCAGCCTCATCCTGCTGCCGGCAAGTGCTGGTCCACGGGCTCTGGGCTTGGCCCCACCCAGGGTGGGAGGAGGCGCCAGTCTGACGTGGTGTGTGAATGCCATCTTTGCGGGTGCGGCCCACACACAGCCCCGACCAGGCTCTTCATGCCGCAGTGTCTGCAGAGCTGTTTTGTGTTTTTTCGTTGGGGCTTCGTTTGATCATATTTGTTTGGGGGGTGGCTTGTTTATTTTGTAAGGTCAGGAACTTCGTTATGCTTTCCTCCAAAGCTCCTATTCTGTCTGTGGATATGAAGGAAGAGATATCCAAGAGCAGCTGGGTGTCTGCGCCTGTCACCCATTTCCTGGCCTGGGGCACACTGCCACCCGCGCCTGCTGTCTGGAAGCCTGTGTCAGGGAGGGAGGGGGTCGGTGGGCTCTGCACCATAGGGGGCAGGAGGGAGGTGGAGGGGTGGCCCTGGGCCGGACATTAGCTGTGAACACATAGGAGCCTCATGCATGCGGGTTGAGGCCTGGGAATCCCACCAGTGGTGGGAATCTTGAAGAGCAGAACTGTACATTTGCCAGTGGGTCTTTTAAGACCATCACCAATAGACCTGCATTCTTTGCCATGGGCGTGGCCGCTGCCTTCGGGGAGGGGGAGGGATAAAGAAGTTAAAAGGCAACATATTAAGAGAAATGAATTTTTATCAAGTGATTGTTTAAATCTTCTTAATTGATAAAAAAAAACTTTCTATATTCAAGGATCTCAGCAAACTCCAAGTAGATTGAATTTGACATAGAGATACATAATGAATTTCATTCTAATGAAAGTGTCACTCCCAACGACAAAGAGGCAATGGTGAAGTACGTGGAAAAAACTCATTAATCATAAGTGGTCCTAATTAAGATTGTAACTCATTTGGGAAGAAAAGAAGAAATGGAGATTGGGAAATGAGTAGATATAAATAGGAATTTTTATTCCGCAAAAGCTCAATACACATCTCAGTGCACACGGGACATTCTCCAAGATATACCACACTGGGCCAGAAAACATAACTGCACAAAATTAAGAGGATAGAAATGATTTCGACTATCTTTTTGGACCATGAGTCACTGAAAATAGAATTGAATCAGACTCAGAAACTGAGAATCAAACAAAGCATACAAATGAAACAAAGTACTAGTGAACAACCAGTGACTTAGAGAGAAAGTCAAGTGGAAATCCAAAGATTCTTGGAAACAAAGGAGAATAAACACACAAATGACCAGAACTTGTGGGATAGAACAAAGGCAGTGTTAAGAGGAAAGTTTAGGCTCTACTAGCATTCATCAGGAAGGAAGAAAGAGCCCATCTAAGTAATTTAACCAAACAACTTAAGATCTTGGAAACTGACCAACAAAAGGAGCTCAAACTTGGTAGGAAGAAGGAAATAAAGCTTGGAACAGTTATTAACTAGAAGGAAGCCCAAAACACAATGACAGATCAATGACACCAAGAGTTCTTTGAGAAAATAAACAAGATTGATAAACCACTACAAGACTCACAAATAAAGAGAAAGAGATTTCTTATGTCTACTGAGGTATTGTTAATAGTTTATAATTAAAAAGATGAAAATAACAACAAAATTTATAATGTACATATTTTCTAGCAACTGCTTTATAAATAGAAAGAAATGATGGATTGCAGAGGTCAGATTCTACTTACAGTACGGAATGCATATAGGCTCAGTGGACCAGCCACTTTCTGTACATGTAATACTCCTCTGATTATTTGGGAGATTGTAGCCTATATCACAGGTAATTTTCACAGTTTCGCCTTCCAAATGTATTACTTGTGAGTAATCAGAGTGGCCATGTTCCACAGAAGGCAAAACACAGTGTCCTAAAAACCCAAATGAAGAATATTACATGACTTGAAATAAAAAACACATCACAGTGTGCCAACATTAAGATAAAGTTTACAAAGCACATAATAAATTAAATTAAATTATGTTTTCAAACTTAATATATAAATTCAGAACGATATACCATAGAGATGGCTCCTGATCCCTTGCCAGGCAGTTTTATTCGGGCAACCCAGAGGAGGAGTGGGTGAGGTTCACTCCCCCACCATGAAGCCAGCCCAGCAGCTCAAAACTTCCAGAACTTTATCACTGCCAGAATAAAGCTTTTCCTGGACCTGGCAGCTCTGAATGCGCAGCATCTCATACTTTACACCAATGATATACCAAGAGTAGCATGCCACATTTGATGAGGTTTAAAGCAGAAGGCAACCAATCTTAAGGGGATAATATATTTATACATAAACATACACACAAGTATATATATGTGTGTATATGCTTATATGTATATAGACATATAAGCACACAAGACTAAAACTTTAGCAACATGTGATTAATCTCTTTGGAAGGATTTATTGGATCCTGGGTGAAATACGGCAATCTTCAATCTTCACACACTTTCCTTTAAGAAAAATTTTTTGATCATTTTCAGTCAACTAGTCATAACAAGCAGTACAAAACAAACTTATATGTAATTTAATTAATCCTCATTTGCATTTAGGAACCATTTTAATTCCTCAACTTTTTTATACATTAAAAATTTTCTGCTTTATCTCACTTAATGATCTAAATACTTTCTAGAGTAGGCGATAACTTTAATCTCCTTTTACTTCCTCATTTAATTTGTCTCCTCATTTAATTTATCTCCTTTTTTCTTCCTCTGCATTTAGTGATAGGGATAAAGTGCTCTCAGATAACTCCTGCTCAATCTCCTTTACCAAAGATAGTCCCTTGAGCATCATCAGGAATGATGGCGGAGCACAGATATTTGTGGCCCAGATCCCCCAAACCAAGCAGTATAAGATGATAAATGTACTATTAATATCATCTAAATATAAAGGTAAAAATAAAAGATCAGCTTATTAAAAATAAAAATATGAAAAATATTAGAGCAAATAATAAAGCTCCTTCAGCTAACTAAGAAGAAAAAATCTTTTGAGGACTGCATATGTAGTTCAAAGGGATGTAGCACATAGAGTGCCGCATACATGGATGTACATGGGCAAAGACTGTGGAGTCGTGGCACAAAATAACCCCAAAATATAGCTGAGAGTGTTCCTGTGGCCTCTGAGAAGAGAGAAGTCAATGAAGAATCACTTCTGAAAAATTCTCAGCATCAGTTCTCATCAAAGAAAGCCAAATCAAGATGGCAATGAGATATCATTATAGACCAGTAAGAATAGCACATATCAAAAACAGTGGGGACAATCTGTGTTGTTGGAGATGTGATGAAAAAGAAACTTGATCCACTGCTGGTTGGAATGTTGCCTGGTACAATCCTTGTGGAAAACAGTATGGATAGATCTCAGTAAACTTAGAATTGACCTGCGTTAGGACCCAGCAAAACCACTCTTAGGCATCTACTCCCAGGACACAGAAACACTCTCTCAAGAGGACATATGCACACCGTTATTCATTGCTGCAATCAGTACAGTAGCTAAAGTATGGAATTAATATAGGGGTCCAATAACATCGAAAGGATTATGAAAATGTAGTATATAAACATTTGGAATACCAACCAGCTGTAAGGAATGATTAAATCATGCAATTTGCTGCAAATTGATTGGAACTGGAAGATTTCATGTTGGAAGAAGTGAGCCAAAGGAAAGACAAATACAGAATGTTCTGTGGTTGATGACATTGTATTGTAGTAAAAGGGAGATGCCTAAATCACCGGAGGCCCCAGTGTTTAGAGACAAAGACAGAAATCAAGAAGGGAAGAAGAGAAAGCAAAGTATTGGGTGAACAGGCATCAGGGCTTGAGTCATACCGATGATATGGGTGAGTGTTATAGTCATCCAGAGATCCCAAACACAGACTCAGCAACACTGAAATCAGGACATCTAAGTAGCAATCACTGAAACTGTGTAACGTGCCTGTGACACTTTTGACAAGTGAGGATGAGGTGGTGATTGGGGTGGGTCAGGAATATGGGAACACTGGTAGAGGGAGGTTGACACTGGTGGTGGGATTGGTATTGGAAATTATTATATGCCTGAAACTCAACTTTGTATATCACAGGTCTTTAATAAAAATATCAAAAAAGAAAAACAAAGAAAAACCACGTATTAGGTAAAATTTTAATATAATTTTCAAAAAAGTCTGTCTAAGTTTTTGGCACTTGAAATTATTCTCATTAGCATTTCAAATGAAATAATTCATTAAATTTTTTGCAAAAATTTAAGAAAAGTAGGGGAGAGTGAAAGATAAAGAGAGAAAGAGAGAGAATGAGAGAGAGAGAGATGTTCAAAAGAGAACACTGGCTTCTCCAGATTGGAAAAAAACTAAATTAAAGAACTTATAGTCTATAGCATCTGTAAATTACTGGTTTCTTTTACTTATTATATGCTACAAGAACTTATATAAAAGGAAATATCTTTGTGAGCTCCTCAAGCCCTTCTCCTATATTTCTGTAAATTCTGTCACCCCATAAGGCATTGCTCTCTGCTCACAGAACATCCCTGGTTCCATCGGACAATGAGGAGCGGGTTACTCACTGAGGCACAGTGGAGCTGGGGACCATCCTTCTGCTGTACACTCGATTCGTGTCCAGACTGACTGTTTTGGAGATGCAAAGCTCTGTTCACAGGAGTAGTAGACATTTTTTCCAATAGCAACTGGGAACTGTTGCTCATGTCTGTTTTCATTATATATGCTTCCATGTCTTATTTTGGGAAAGTCACAAGTTCCTCCTAAAAGAATAAATAGCATTTTATGGCAACAGATGATTCTATTTAATATTAATATTTATTTAATGAACTTACTATTTATGTAGCTTCATTATTCTACTGCACTAGGATCTGAAAACTGGAATAATCCGGATCTCTTTTTGCTTGTCTTGTGTGCAGTTGACCTAGGTTGGTTGACTGGAATACCTTATTTTCTTGCTAGCCTCACCAGGAGTGACCCCTGAGCACATAAGCCAGGAACAAGGTCTAATCACAATTACGGGAACCCATCCCACCAAAGCAAAAGGACCTCATGATGTTTCAGTTCTTTTGAAGCCAGTCTATACGACTATGTGCATATGACTATATATGCTAAGAAGATGCAAAAACAATTTTTTATTAATACTTTTCACACTGTAAAAAGTCAAAGTATTTTTAAGTCACTTACTGGAGTCCCACTTATCCCCTACCCAATTCAGTTATGTAGATAACTTCTCCCATTCTGTTAACTTTGGACCATTGCTACCGCCTCACTATGTGTCTTGAAATCAGTTTTATCTTAATTACCACCTTGAAGACCTAATTCTGTACCCACACATGTTGTAAATCCCTAGGAGTAAGAATATCCAAATAGTATTGGGCGGGAAGATGATGGCTTCCTAATTAGAACTCAGGACCTGGTGTCATGCTTGGCATCATTCATCCCACGTATGTAGGCTTAGTGGTTCAATGCTTGGTCTAGCAGGACTGGCTGGTGAAAGGGGCCACCAGACATTCCTTAGGAAGCCATGTGGTGGCAGGGACTGAATCCATGGCATGTGGTCCAGCCCCTTGAGCAAGACCTTACTTTATGTTTGCCAGTGACATTTAGACTATAATTTATTGTTATTTATTGGAACCTTTCATTTTACTTGGCAACATTTTTGATGTTTTATTTTTACATTTTATTTTAAAATATTGTATTGAATCACTAGGAAATGGACAATTGCAAAGTTATTCATGATTGGGTTTCAGTCTTCCAACACCCATTTCTCCACCAGTGTACATTTCCTAGCACTAATATCCAACATCCCCAGTATCCCTTTCACCCTCTTCCTCAAACTTCTTCCCTCACCACCAATTAGCCTGACATACTAATGTACCATTTTAGGCTTTGGTACAGTAGTATGATAAACTCTCTCTTTCTCCTCTCTCTGTCTCTTTCTCCCCCATCTCTTTTTATTAAGCTATAATTAAAAAACATATAAGCTTTATATTTGTTGACTTCATGAATTTGACTTATGAATCTGAACTAATATTTGTGTATAAAAGTTTATAAAATTATATCACTCCCAAAGGTTAAGTATTAATTAATTAAATACCAACGGTTGGTGCCCAAGGAGAACAGATAGGATGATTCCTTGGGGACTGACCTACAAGCAGTCAGGAACACAGGCCCCATGAAAATGATCAAGCCATGACTCCAGTGTCCAGACTGGTTTGGAAAGGGTTAACACCTCTTCCTTTGGCTGCCTTTTAGATCTTTGTATTACACAGATGCAATCTTCCCTTTCTCACAGATCCCTAACCCAGCTCAGCTTGGGGATGCAGGCATTCTCTCACATCCCCTTATCACTCCAGTTTCAAGGGGCTATAGTTCATGGTGCCAGACTTCTTGGCCTTGCATTCCTCTCTGGAGATTATGACCACTGGACTTACACACATGACAGAACAAGTAAGCTTTGATGTCCTTATGACCCTCCTGTAACCCCTTCCCTCCCCACCCGCCGCCAATGATTTCTTTGTACTGAGTGCACTAGATGTGAGTGCATAGGATAGTTAATTAAAGAGGCCATGGTCGTCCTCTCGGAAGCTGGGAGAAAAGCAGCCCTGAGCATCTGCCTTTTCCTCTTTGCCCCGCAAGCTGTGCTGATCTTCTCCCAAACCCAGGTCAGTTCATCCACCGGTACTCGAAACCAGGACTTGGATTTCTCCCTGAAAGCCCCCCAGGTGTCCTCTCAGACAAGCTGTGCTATTCTTCTCCCCTACTTCTCTGACAAGCTGTGCTGGTCTTCTCCTCTACCCAGTCATTACTCCCCCCACACATACCAGGTTCATGTGGGGTTGTGGCCTCTTCAGAAGTAGGCGTGGCTTCTGTAGAAGTGGGTGTGACCTATTTTTCATCAGGCTGCCGCTCATGCGGCCACAGGTAGTTTAGCCATACCAAGCAACCAAGTCCCCAAACCTGCATACCAACATGAAGAAACAACGCAAATCCCCACCACATGGGGATGACAACAAAAAGAATCCAGAAGTCTCTGTCTATACTGCTCACCCAAGGGACCACTTTGACAAAGAATTCAGATATGAAGTCATGAAGATGTTCAATCAACTCAATGAAACAGTCAGACAGATATCCAGTAGCATGACAGAAAATATCGATAAATTACAGGAAGAAATGAGAGCAGAAATATCACGAATAAAATATTCCATAGATGAAATGAAAAACTCAGTCTCTGCCCTCAATAGTAGAATGACCGCAGCTGAAGAGAGAATCAGTGAGCTGGAAGACCAGCTGAACCAAGCCAATAGGAAACAACAAGCAGTGGCAAGTGACCTCAAAATAGCTCTACAGAGAATCAGAGTTCTAGGAGATGATTCTAAGAGTAACAACATTAGAATCATTGGAGTACCAGAAGCTCAGGGAAACAATCCCAATGAAAGAAACACCGTTAAACAAATCATTGCTGAAAAATTTCCAGAACTCAACAATGCAGCCATTCAGATTCAAGGAGCCTGAAGGGTGCAAGCTAAAAGAGACCCTTACAAAAGCACTCCAAGACATATCATAGAATGGCGATAGAGATTCAATACTGCAAGCAACAAGGTCAAAGAAGGAAATCACATACAAAGGAGCATCCATTAGAGTCACAGCAGACCTATCGGAGGAAACCCTCCAAGCTCAAAGGCAATGGCAGGATATAGTGAAAAAAACTCACTGAAATGAATGCTTCATCAAGAATACTCTATCCAGCTAAACTCAAAATCAAAGGAACGGTACACTATTTTCTAGATAAACAGCAGCTCAGGAACTTCATAGACTCAGACCAAACCTAAAACAAGGCCTAAAGGGGCTACTAAAAGACAAGACACACCCTACAAGCACAACACACACTTACAGAAAGATGACACAAAACCCCATAACAATAATCTCTCTCAAAATCAACAGTCTAAGTTCACCAAATAAGAGACACACAGTGGCAAAATAGATTCAGAGACAGAACCCAACACTCTGCTGCCTGCAAGAAACTCATCTCAACAGTCAGAACAAATACAGACTCAAAGTGAAAGGATGGAAAACAATCCTGCAAACAAACAGCTCCCGCAAAAAAGCTGGTTGGCCAAACTTGTATCCGACAACATTAACTTCAGGTTGAAAAAGATTAGAAGGGACAGCAAAAGCTATTTTCTCTTCCTCAAGGGATACGTACAACAGGAAGAAATCACACTCTAATGAGGGAACAGCTAAATATTTAAAACAACTGCTACAGATTTTAAGGAGAACATTGCTAGCAACACACTAGTAGCTGGAGACTTCAACATCGCCTTATCATCTCTGGATAGATGAACAAGAAGAAAACTCAGCAAGGAAACAATGGATTTGAAAGAAGAAATATAAGAGAAAGGGCTTATATACCTATACAGGGCTTTACACCCCCAAAAGAAAGAATTCACATTCTTCTCCAGTGTTCACAGAACATTTTCCAAAATAGACCATGTCTTAGGCCACAAAACATACCTCAATAGAATCAGGAAGATAGAAATAGTGTCAACAACAATAGTATCAGACCATGATGCATTGAGAATAGATGTGAATCACACACAGTCACGGAGAACCAAATCAAACACCTGGAAATTAAACAACTCAATGCTGAACAATGAGTGGATCAGGAATGAAATCAAGGACAAAATCAAAAGATACTTGGAAACAAATGAGAATGAAGACACAAACTACCAGAACTTATGCGATTAAGCTAAAGCCATATTAAGAGGAAAATGTATAGCTATGCAAGCCTATCTCAGGAGGGAAGAAAGGATGCACATAAACAACTTGACTTCACAGCTCAAGATCCTAGAAAAAGATCAACAGAAGGAGCGCAAATCAGGTAGAAGGAAAGAGATCATAAAACTTAGAGCAGAAATCAACGACATGGAAACCAAATAAACAATCCGAAAAATCAATGAAACCAAGAGCTGGTTCTTCGAGAAAATAAATAAGATAGATAAACCATTATCAGCACTCACAAAGAAACAGATATATAGAACCCTAATAAATCGAATCAGAAATAAGAATGGGGATATCACAACAGAAACCAAAGAAATTCAAAAGATGATCATAGACTACTTCGAAATTCTGTATGCCAAAAAACAAGAGAACCTAGAAGAATTGGATAACTTCCTGGATTCTATCATCTCCCAAAGCTGAATCAAGAAAATATAGAGTACCTGAATAGACCTATTCACATCAAGGAAATTGAAACTGTAATCAAAATTCTTCCCCAAAACAAAAGCCCAGGACAAGATGGATTCACTAGCAAATTTTTCTAAACATTTAAAGAGGACCTATTGCCAGTTCTTCTCAAGCTTTTCCAGGAAATTGAACAAACAGAAACTCTCCCAAACAGTTTCTATGAAGCTCTTATCTCTCTAATACCAAAAGAAAACAAAGACACCACAATAAAAGAAAACTACAGGCCAATATCCCTGATGAATACGGATGTGAATATTCTCAACAAAATACTAGCAAATAGAATTCAACAACTCATCAAAAAGATCATACACCATGACCAGTGGGATTCATCCCGAGGGATGCAAGGATGGTTTAACATTCGGAAATCAATCAACATAATCCATCATATCAACAAAAAATGTTAAAAATTATAAGACCATATCAGTAGATGCAGAGAAAGCATTTGACAAGACCCAGCACCTGTTCATGATGAAAACCCTCACCAAAACGGGGATAGAGCACACTTTCATGAATATAGTTAAAGCCATCTACAACAAGCTTACAGCAAGCATCATCCTCAATGGGGAAAAATTGGGAGCCTTCCCCTTGAGAAGAGAGACGAGACAAGGATGCCCACACTCTCCACTACTGTTCAATATATTACTGGAAGTACTTGCAATAGCGATTAGGAAAGAAAAAGATATTTAGGGCATCCAGGTAGGAAAGGAAGAAATTAAGCTCTCACTATTTGCAGAATATATGAAACTATACTTGGAGAACCCTAAAACCTCTACCAAGAAACTCCTAGAAACAATGGATTTGTATACTAAAGTTGCAGGCTATAAACTCAATACCCCAAAGTCCATGGCTTTCCTATAAGCAAATATTGAAAGAGAGAAAGTGACATGAAGATAACAATCCCGTTCACAATTGTGCCCCAGAAAATCAAGTACCTAGGAATCAGCTTAACTAATTAGGGAAATAAAGGAATTATACAAAGAAAACTACAAAACACTACTTCAGGACCTAAAAGAGGACATGAGGAAATGGAAAGATATACCCTGTTCGTGGATGGGGAGAATTAACATTGTCAAAATGGCAATATTTCCCAAAGCATTGTACAAATTCAATGCGACCCCTATTTGGATACCCATGACATTCTTCAAAGAAATGGAGCAAACACTCCTGAAACTTATAAGGAACAATAAGCCCCCACAAATAGCTAAAAAAATTCTTGGGAAAAAGAAAATGGGAGGAATCAACCTCCCTAAATTCAAACTCTACTACAAAGCAGTAATAATTAAAACAGAATGGTACTGGAACCAAGGCAGAGCTGTAGAGCAATAGAACAGAGTTGAATATACTGATAACTCCCCCCAATCATATGATCATCCAATCTTTGATAAGGGGGCAAGAAAAGTGACGTGGAGCAGGGAAAGCCGCTTTAACAAACTGTGCTGGCAAAACTGGATGGCTACATTCAAAAAAGGCGGCTCAGGTTGCATAACGCCATGTACAAAAGAAAGATGAAAATGGATTAAAGACCTCAACATCAGACCGAAATCCATAAAGTTCATTGAAGACAAGTTGGCAAATCCCTCCATCATATTGAAGCTAATGGTATCTTCAAAGATGTCACGCCACTCCCTGGCCAAGCAAGTGAAAACAGAGATAGACAAATGGGACTATCTTAAACTAAGAAGCTTTTGCACCTCAAAAGAAACAGTGACCAAAATACAAAGACAGTCTACAGAATGGGAAAGGATATTTGCCACATACACATCTGACAAGTGGTTGATATCAAGGATATACAAGGTACTGGTTGAACTCCACAAGAAGAAAACACCCAACCCCATCAAAAAATGGGGCGAGGAAATGAACAGAAACTTTCTCAAAGAAGAAATCCGAATGACTAAAAGTCACATGAGAAAATGTTCTACATCGTTAATCACCAGAGAGATGCAGATGAAAACAACAATGAGATATCATTTCACACCACAAAGACTGGCCCACATCCAAAAGAACAAAAGCAACCGGTGCTGGTGTGGATGTGGCGAGAAAAAGACCCTCCTTCACTGCTGGTGGGAATGCCGACTGGTCCAACCCTTTTGTAAATCAGTATGGATTATTCTCAAAAAATTAGAATTTGAGCTCGCATTTGACCCAGCAATACCAGTCCTGGGAATATATCCCAGAGAGGCAAAAAAGTATAGTCGAAGTGACATCTGCACTTGTTTGTTCATTGCAGCACTCATTAAAATAGCCAGCATCTGGAAAAAACCTGAGTGCCCGAGAACAGATGACTGGTTAAAGAAACTTTGGTACATCTACACAATGGAGTACTATGTAGCTGTTAGAAAAGATGAAGTCATGAAATTTACATACACATGGTACTACATGGAAAGTATCACGTTAAGCGAAATGAGTCAGAAAGGGAGGGATAGACATAGAAAGATTGCTTTCATCTGGGGAACAAAAAGTTACAAAATAGGAGACTAACACCCAAGAGTGGCTGAGATTAGTACCAGGAATTTTGCTCCATGACTTGGAGTTCAGCCACATGTGCTAGGGGAAAAGGGAGCTCAGATAGAGAAGTTAGCACCAAATATAGGGTGTTTGGAGGATCCTTCCAGGATTGGAGAAGCATGCTAAAAGCAGATTATAGACCAAACATGATTGTCACCCACTGCCTCTTTTGCAAACCACAGGACCCAAAAGAAGAGAGAGAGAACAAAAAGGAGAGCCCTGCCACAGAGGCAGGGCCGAATGGGGAGGATGGGGGGGGGGGGGGTGGGATACTGGACTCGTGGTGGTGGAAAATGGGCACTGGTGGAGGAATGGGTACTTGATCATTGTATAATTGAAACCCAAGCACAAAATTCTTAAGTCTACAACTGTACCTCATGGTGTTTCACTAATAAAAAATTTAAAAAAAATAAAGAGACCATTGGACACTTCTTCGCTCTGCCCTGCTAGAGCGAGTTTGCAGTTCTCCAGGCATTTTTCGAATTCTTCTCGTTGTTCTTTCCTCTTGCCCAAGACAGAAAGAGTATTCATACAAGAACCAACCTTAATACAGTTTGAATGAAGTACATATTTTGAGACATATATCTAAAGAATTTGTAAGCGTATTTTTATATTGCCAAAATGTTTTGTAGTTGTGGGGGTCAGAGTGATAGTACAGTGGTTATTGTATGTGACAGTTTAAAAAGAGGTTTCTGCTCCCTCAAATCCTTCAAGTTTTAGATACATGCAAATAAATAATACAGTATTATAGTATTCTTATCTATTTTTATATCTGTTTTCAACTTACCTTGTCCTTGGACACAGGAAGCCCACACAGTGAGAAGGACGATAGTCAGCAAGTGCATGTTAACAATTCCCAGGGGATAGTCACAGGAACACTTCAGTTGTGCTCTCCAGACTTGTATTTGTTTCATTAGAATTTACCAGCTGTGACTCTAACTGGGACTTGGCCGGAACTTAGTAAATTTTACAGGTCCCTCAGTAAACATCAAAGTTCATAGGGTTTTGCAAGTTCCCTTATTTCTTATATTCCTTTCATAATATTTCATAGAATCAAAACTCTATTATTGTTTATGTATATTTCTTTAACGGCATTAGTAGACTGGTTCCAAAAGTCACACAAAGCTAATTTTTAAATAAAATGTTTCTTGAAAGTAGGTGACATTCTTTAATAACCAGGTGACTCGGGCATGAATAATTCACATTCTAGTTACTATAACTTTCTCGTTTTTTTAATTAGTCTATAATTACTTCCTAAGGATCCTATAAAAATTAACTGTATATTGGATTGTAATCCACTAGTACTATTTTTTGTAATTTTGTTTTGTTTGAAAATAAAATTGCATTGCTGCAAGAAAATCCCACCAATTTACTTGTTTTAGTATCTCTTCTTTTTCCTATTGCCACCTCGAAATCCTTAAGTAAACTTTTTGCTATCAAAGTTTACTGGTTTTGTTTCTATTGCCTCTTCATTAATTATATGCTTATAATTGCATGTGGGTTGAAATTAGCATTTTTTATTATTTTTATATTACATTTTTATAATATCTTGGCCACACATACAGATACTATAAAATAATTCTCCCAGAAGAGAGTGATGCAGAGTCTCCTGACCCCTCTCCAGGTTGTCTTACTGGGGCACCTCGTGGGAAGGGTTGAGTTTCCCTACCCACCCCAAACAGAGCCCTGGCAGACGAAAACCTCCAGAACCCAACCAAAGCCATACTCAAGGCCACTCTCCCCACCCTCAAATGAGCCTCACCCATAAAGGAACTGGCAGAGGAACCCAGGTACGCAGGACCCTGGCTGAGGTCTTCAAGCCTGCTCGGATTGGGACTAACCCTTCTCCCCCCAGGTCCCCAGTTTTCCAGTAGCTTGACAGCCACACCCGGAAACTGCTCCCAGCACTGTGTAGTCTCATCAAAGGCCTAGAACCAGAGACTATAAAATAAAGATCCCTGAAGAGATCGACACAGTATTTCTGGAGCATGGGGCCGCATTCACGGCCATGAGACCTTTATACTCTAAGCCCATTGATGTGCCTAAAGTAGCACAGATTTGTTTGGTTTTAACATACTTGCTTGTATTCTTCTATATGTGGACTTATACTGTTTCAGAATGAAATACAGCAAACTTCAAACCTTCCCTCATAATGTGGTGGGCAGTTGCTCGCTGTAGGGTTGGGTGTTTGAATGTTATCTTTAATGATCTATTGTGAACTACTTTATGAAAATAAAATGTATAAAATTTGCAAATAAAATAAAATATCTTAGCCACTTATGGGAGACACCATTCTGTGTTCAGAATGTACTCCTGGCTTTGTGGTCAGGGATCACTTCTGTGGACTTGGGAGACCATATGAGATTCTGGGGATCAAATCTTATACGGGGGACCATTTGGGATGCTGCCTGACTGCATGCAAAGTGCCCTCTATGCTACATTATCTCTCTGTCCCCTAACCTTATATTAAATTGCTCTACAATATATAAATTTCAAGATGCTCTGGCATTTAATGTGATTTGACTTTCTTCATAAAATTAGGAGTACTATATTTAGATGAATTAATAATTTACCTAGCCATAATAGTCTAGCAACTTTAGCATTATCAGTAGTCCTTTCACTGCTTACAAACTGAAGTTCTTCCAAGATATAGGTAGTTAGAACTTTACAGAGACACGCGATAGAAATCAGTTCTTCCAAGTAGGTAATATAGAAATCTGTCACGGATGTTATTGATAATCCATTGAATAACTGGTTTGTTTATTTTTCTATAATTTCACAATACTGAATAACCTAGTAATGTTTATATAATCATGATTTCCACAATTACATAATACCTTACATCAGACAAATCCGAGCAGGAGCGATACCACAGCAGGTAGGGCATTTGTCTTGCACGTGGTCCACAGAGGTTTGATTCCTCCACTCCTCTCGGAGAGCCCTACAAGCTACGGAGAGTATCCCATCCACATGGCAGAGCCTGGAAAGCTCCCCATGCCATATTCTTTATGCCAAAAACAGCAACAAGTCTCACAATGGAGACGTTACTGGTGTCCGCTGGAGCAAATAGATGAACAATGGGAGGACAGTGCCACAGTGCCGGACAAATCTATTTCTAAATCACAACGTGTAGCAAAGTGTTTCTTGAGAAAACAAGCAAACTTCCACAAATGCTCAAACCTTTGAAAGAACAAGATAAAAGTGTAGAATCTACTCTCCATGTTTTGGGAATTAGGAATACCCTTACCTTTCATACCATAAAGTTGGTAAAGCTAAAGTAGGAAGCAAGGATCTTATTGGGGGACAATTTAGACATCAGAGTAGAGCCTGGATCCACATCAGTCACTGGGAAGAGAAATCAGTGGGGAAATCACGTGTCTATTTCACTGTGGGGAAATCCCCAATTGTCTGTTTACACTTGTACATATGCTGAGTTTGCACCAGTTCAAACTCCCTGGAGTCCTGTTGAAAGCAACTGTTGCAAGAACAAAAACTCTGAAACATTCAGATAAGACCCAGTGGAGAGGAGGACTGTAAGGGTCAAGTACGATGAAATCCTTCCAATTAAACTTAGGATAATTTTTTTTTAGGTGTACTATATCCCAATATATGGCTATGGGCTGTATACTTGCATTAGGTGTTCTCCTGCTAAATATATTTAGACACAAAACAGTGGCAAAATGTTTCAATAAGTTTAACAACTGAAAGCTGCCCAGGTGCAGCCAATGAGTCCTCAGAACTGTGCTGGGTGTGACCAAGCCTCCTCAAGCCCTCACACTGGCTACTACTAATAATATAAGTAACATCACCAAAAAGAGCATTATGCCCAACCATAAATTGAATGTTGACTTAAGACTTCCAGAGCCTTGTCACTGATTTCAAGTTTAATGACAAGTGAAAGCAAGTTAATGTCATCATACTGGTTGTCTTCAAATATCATTCACCTTTCTATGATTCCAGCTAATTCAAGATATTATGAAACATTAAAGACCAGTGCATTTAAAAGGCACATAGGCCATAACGAGAGTCCACAGATTAAGGACTTTACCTTGCACACAGTAAACCCTAGTTCTATCTCTGCACCACAGTTGGTCACCAGAGTATTGCCATGAGTGCTCCCTGAGCACAGACTCAAGAGTAAGTCTTGTTTACAGCCGGGTGTGCCCCCCAATCAAAATAAGATCAATTTTTAAAAAACCCAAATAAAATGTCATGGCTGTTTTAGAGAAATTTATATCAATAGACCCTAAGTCTAAGTGCTTTCATCACTAATGAACCATTTTAGACCAGTTATACAATTTTTGCATTTAAAACATAATTTCCAGTATAGGTATCAAATGTTCATAGAAAAAAATGATTTATGTAGTGGTCAGGGTTGGAATACAGAGAAACTGGATCAAAGTTTTGTCCCCAAATAAAGAGAAGTATTCAAAGATTAATGAGCATATAAGAAACATTCTGACCTCAGTTAGAAGAGAGAAACACTGGTCAAATTTTGCATAATTTCATCTTCAATGTAAGTTCATCTCTGTCATTAGCTGCAACTGATTGAATAAATAAAAATTCATAATTTTCTGATGATGAACTAACCTTTTTAAAAAAAGTTTAAGTTCACATGGAAGGCCACAATAACAATGTTTTATTCCAGAAGCTGGAAAAAAAGGCAAAAATAAACATTCATAATTTTTTTTCTGAACATCTTGAGATTTGAAAAGTTAATCACCTTTATACACTAGTGCAGACTATACACTAGTGAAGACTAATAAATGAAAAACAATGATAAAATCGATCATGATTACTGTTTTGCAGCTAATAATGAGTTAATGGTTTTTAGGATATTGTCATAATTCCACAATAATTGGACAAAAGGTTGTAGAAAATTTTACATTTACAAACATTAATTTTAACAGAAAACAAATTTGCAAATTTGAACTGTTCCTATTTTTGTTTATTGTCTTTTTAAAAAAGTTTTATTAGTGATATACCATGAGGTACAGTTGTAGACTTACAAATTTTTGTGCTTGGGGTTCCTATTTTTATGTATGAGAAAATCCTTGAAAAAACTTTAGATAAATTGACTCCACTGGTGACTGTTAGATTTCTCGTTGCACAAGTATCACAGGTTTTGATGCAGTGAGAGCAGCATATTGCCTTAAAATGCTTTACCTTGTTCATTGACCTTTCTGATTTTATCTTAGAGATTTTATAGAAATTTCAATGGTATGTAGTCAACTAATTTTGAGTAATGAGACTGATATAGGATAAGAAATAGCTCAATGGGTTGAAACTTGAACTTTGCATGTTGCAAAACCAGGTTTGGGCCATTTCGCTCCGTGGTCTACAGGAATGACCCTCATGAACAGAAATCACAAGGAACCCCTTAGCATTTCCATGTCCCACACTCCCATACAAACAAAACTCTAATAACTAGGCTACTTTAAATATAAAAATTCCGAAAACGGATTTTCTTTTTTTTCTTTTTGTTGAATCATAGTGATATAGATCATTACAAAATTACTTATAAATTGCACTTCAGTCATATAACGTTCTAACACTCATCCCTCCACCAGTGTAATTTAACAGTACCAGTGTTCCCAGTTTACCTCTCACCCCTTCAAACCACCGCCTGGCCCAGGCTGCTTTTATGGCAGCCACCTCATCTCTCTCTCTCTCTCTCTCTCTCTCTCTCTCTCCTCTCTCCTTCACTCTCATTTTAGGCATTATGGTTTCCACGCAGATGCTGAAAGGTTATCATGTATAACCTTTTTCCTGCTTTCAACACTCAGTTCTTGTCCAGTTAGGAAAACACACTTCCTATATCTGTTCCTATATCAGTCTCATTATTTAAAATTAGTTGACCACACCATTGAAATTTCTATGAAATCTCTAAGATAAAAACAGAAAGGTCAATGAACAAGGCAAATCAT